TTACCCGGCATTCTCCGCCTGCCCCTCCTGCCTCCGTGGAGGGTCATGAGGAATTCGAAGTTTCTGCTGTTCTTGACTCTCGTTACCTTAGGGGTCGACTTCAGTACTTGGCGCATTGTAAGGGTTATGGGCCTGAGGAGCGCAGTTGGATTTCAGCTGATGCTGTTCACGCTCCCCGCCTTGTGCGTTCTTACCATTCTCGTTTTCCTGCCAGGCCTGGCCCTACCCGCCCGGAGGGCGTGTCCTCAGGGGGGGTACTGTAGCGTTACTCACCTTATCCAGGGGCCGGCCGCGGTCCTCTCTTCGAGCCGCGCGCGGTCCTGCTGCTGCACGAGCCGCGCGCGGCTCATCCGACAGCTCAACAGGAAGGCGGGCAGTGACCGCGAGAAGTGGTCACGTGTCCCGCCTGAATCTAAGAGCGCGCCGCGAGTCTCGGGCGCGCTCTTAAAGAGACAGTGGGAGCCTAAATTGTTAAAAGGCTCCCATTGGCCCCTGTCATGCCACACTCCCCATACACTTACCTTTTGGGGGTGTGGATATGACAGGAGCCAATCACATTAGTTTAGAAGCTATTTAAACTTACCTCTCCCTTTACTCCCTGCCCTATCGTGGTTTCTGTTTCAGTTCCCTTTAGCGCTTGTTGTGTTCAGTTGTGTTTTCTTCGTATTGACTTTGGCTTTGTTTCTGACTACGTTTTCTCTTTATCCTTATCTGTTCTGGTTGTCGGCTTGCTGTTTACTGTGTACCAGACCCCGGCTAGTCCTAGTTTACGCTGTCTCTCTGTGCCCTTGACTTCGGATCGTTCCTGACTCTGTCTCCTCTCATATACGTCGAGTCCGGCCATTCTAAGGTCCGGTAGACGTATCTCTCCTCTGTGTTGTCTTCTGTTTAGCTGAATCCTGCGTGTTGGGGTATATTCTCGTTACACCTAATAGGAAATCAGTCTCTCTAATGAGTGTGATTACTAACAACCCCCCAAGAAAAAAGAAGTACTAATCAAAAAAAGGAGAGAACTGGTACAAGTGACCTCCACCAAACAATATGAAGGAATTACAAATAAATTAATATGATCAGAAGGCAGTAGGTAAGCATGAAATTTAATAACACAAATTGAACTTACAAAGTTGGTATAAAAACAGACACATCACCAGTACCCATGGTCCCCAATCAAATAAAAGAGATTTGGAGATTTGTCCACCTGCTAGGGAATGGAAACATAACACCAGAACAAATAAAGGCAGCAGAAATAGTCCCAACGCGACTTGTCTTATCACAAGACTTCCTCATGGTTATTCAGTGCCTACAGTGTCCCTTTAAGGCCTTAAGATCTCACACTTATGCTGTGTAATTTTCATTCCTGGGCTGCCATATGGTTTCAAAGGCCCAACAAATAAATCTGGCAAACTGAAATGGGAAAGCCCTATATCTGATCCTGTAATTTTCCAAAACTCCATAAAACCTGTATGGGAGGTACTGTTTCACTCATGCGACATTGCTGAACACAAATATGAGTGTTTTAGAGCAGTATAACATATAATGATAATGATATCGTCAGTGAAAAGGCAGTTTTTGTGTCAAATGTAAAAAAAATTTGAACAATTAATTTGGCCATGGTTTGTAACTAATTGGCTACTAAAAAAAGACTGGACATACCCCATTTTGTATACCCTGGGTTGTCTACTTTTGGAAATGGTATGCCATGATGGGAGTATTCCCATTCCTGGGCTGCCATACGGTCAACATAACTAATCTGGCAGATTTCAATGTGTAAGAACTGAAAAAGAGAAAAGCCCTATATTCAACCCTGTAACTTTCCAAAACACCATAAAACCAATACACGGGAGGTACTGTTGTACTCATGAGACATCACTGAACACAAATAGGTGTAATTTATTCCAGTAAAAGCTAACAGTATTATGACATTCACAGTTAAAATGTCATGAGAACTATGACAGACTATGATTCTATCCCTAAAATCTTCCCTGGCTCTCATTACCTACCCCTCCATGCTTAACACTAGAGAACGCCTCTCACTGGGGCCTGCAAATGATTCAGGAGAGCCGGTGAGTACCGTGAGGACTTCAGGGAGACATATTTCCCTGGAAGTCTGGCTCAGCCACAGGTACCAACATCGCCCAGTTAACTTCAACCTCTTTTTTGCCCACTTCCAGGCCAACTAGAAAAGCGCAAATTGGAGGGGGGAACAAGGAGAGAACCAGGGTTATTGCCCCTTTTCAGTTCACAGGAGCTCCCGATATTTGACCAGCAAAAAACACAACTGCTGTGGAACTCTTTTCGGCTTGGAACTTGATAGCGGCCAGTCAAATGTTTATCCTGGTGGTAATTTGGCAATTCTGCATGGATCCAGTGCTATTGTGCCAACATGGGCGCTCGGATCAGAGCTATCCAGGCATGTATCATGTGTAGATTCATGCCTGTTTAATTGTGTTTTGGTGGGGTATTTTATGTTAGGCTGTCTGTGTCTGGGAGATAATTGACTTAAGCGAGGGATAACCTAAATTCCTTCCAGGGTGGCATCACCTATGCTTTGTATTGAGACCCCATGCTGTGGGTCCATGTATAAAAGAGTGCATTGGTTCCACTAAAGTCAGTTATACTTCCAGAATCATGTGTCATCTGATTACTGGGACAAGAGGGCCATATTCACTGAACAGCACTTATTCCAGCTAAGAAGGGATTCCAGCAGAGATATCCAGCCACTATATAGGAGCTCTGCTACAAGCTCAATGGTAACCATAAACCTGCATATAATTATAAAATGATATATTGCAAATTAATTATACTGTTAATAAATATACAGCTCTGGGAAAAAGAAAAGAGACCACTGAGGTAGTGATTAAGTGATCACCGAATCACAAAATTTTATTTCACAAGGAAAAGTATAAAAACAGCACTATACTCTTGCAATAGCACCAGCTGGGTGGCATAAACAGTGCTAGTAGTACCTCAAAAGTAATAGAAATATTTATATTAACCATGCGAAAAGAGTAGTAAAGAAAGGTTTTGAGTGAGGAAAAGAAAGGTTCAATTCTAGGCCACGGCAAAACTCAGGCAATTTAGAAAAAAGCCCTTTACCAATGATAGGCAAAGAAGAGGTTTGCAAAGGACCATACAGATTGGACTTTAGAGAACTGGAGTAAGGTCATCTTCTCCGATGAGTCCAAATTTCAGCTTTGCCCAACACCTGATTACAGTGCCGATCCTGGGCGGATGTTCACGCTGTAGTGTGTCCCAGGTGCCTGAAGGTGTAGGGCCCTGTCACAGGGTGCCCACGGGCAGGGCCGTACTGGCCCACCGGGATACTGGGAAATTTCCTGGTGGGCCGCGGCACCTGGGGCTGGGCTGACAGCCCTAACCAGTGATCAGGCTCCTGTAATCCCGGCCGGCTATGTGTGAGCTGTGCGGCCGCAGGGGGAGCCAGGCATCTGGCAGAGCTCACACATGGCCGTCCGGTGTCATTTAAAAAAAAAATGAATATTGTGGTGGGGCGGAGCTTAGCATGCGGAGGGGCGGAGCTTAGCCCTGGTAACTGCAGCATGGGAAGCAGGAAGGAGTCCCTGCTCCCCAACAACCAGCCTCCAGGAGCTCCAAGGGATGTGGAGGTAAGAAGCAGGTCAGCGTGTCTGTGTGTGACTGCCTAGGTGTGAGAGTGTGTGACTGTCTGCCTGTGTGTGTGTGTGTGTGTGTGACTGTCTGCCTGTGTGTGACTGTGTGTGTGACTGTCTGCCTGTGAGTGTGTGTGTGACTGTCTGCCTGTGTGTGTGTGTGTATGAGAGTGTGTGACTGTCTGCCTGTGTGTGTGACTGCCTGTGTGTGTGTGACTGCCTGTGAGTGTGTGTGACTGTCTGCCTGTGTGTGTGAGTGTGTTGCTGTCTGTCTGTGTGGCTGTCTGCCTCTGTATGTGTGTGTGTGTGTGGCTGTCTGCCTGTCTCTGTGTGTGGATGTCTGCCTCGGTGTCAGTGACTGTCTGCCTCTGTGTGTGTGGATGTCTTTGTGTGTGCATCTGCTAGTGAGTGAGCGAGCTTCTGTGTGTGTGTGTGTGTGTACGCGCATCTGCTACTGAGGGACTTCTGTGTGTGTGCGCCTGGCCTGCTAGTGAGTTTGTGCATGTGTGTGTGCCTGCTAGTGAGTGAGCTTGTACGTGTTTCAGTGAGCTTGTCTGTAGGGATCATATGTGTATGCGTGCGTGTTAGTAAGCTTGTCTGTAAGGAGCATGGGTGTGTCTGAGCCTGTCTATGGTGAGCATGTGTGTGATCGTGAGTTTGTCTGTAGTGACCATATGTGTGTCAGTGAGCTTGTCTGTAGTGAGCATGTGTGTGTCAGTGAACTTGTCTGTAGTGAATCTGTGTGTTAGTGAGCTCTCCTGAAGGGAGCATGTGTGTGTCAATGGGCTTGTCTGTAGGGAGAGTGTGTGCGCATCAGTGAGCTTGTCTGTAGTGAGCATGTGTATGTGTGACAGTGAGCTTGTCTGTAGTAAGCTTGTGTGTATCAGAGTTTGTCTGTACTAAATTTGTGTGTGTGCCAGTAACCTTGTCTGTGTGTGTCATTGAGATTGTCTGTCAATGAGCCTATTTGTGTGCAACAGTAAGATTGTCTGTGTCTGTATGTAAGTATGCTTTACTGTATAATTGAATTACCCTGAAAGGACTAATATTTTGAATAAGAAGAAGAAATGTATCAAATATATATATATATATATGTATATGTACATAACACCCTACATAGCACAATGACGTATGGGGCTGGCATAGATTTTTTTATCCAGGGCTGCTTCGTATCCCCAGTCTGACCCTGCCCATGGGGTGGCCGTCTGGCCTCCTTATGGCCCCCCAGATGCGGCGCTAATTCAGTAAGGCAGAGTAGGTACCTGCTTACCTAGATGGCAGATGCCTACTCTGCCGATATATGCCGGAGGGTCGGGGCTGGGAAAAGAGGAAGCAGGAAGTCGGGGTCAGCAGCGAAAGAGTGCTGATTTTCCAGTTCCTTACTCCTCCCTCACGCATCCTCTGATGCGGAATACGACGTCATAAGTGTGTGTAAGTGTGTGCGTGTCTGTCAGTGAGTGTGTCTGTTGGTGTGTGTCTGTCAGTGAGTGTGCTGGTCCATGCCCTGTCCTCTCTGACTACTGCAATCCGCTTCTCAGTGGTCTTGCGTGCTCCCAACTTGACCCTTTACAGTCTATAATGAATGCACGGTGAGGCTTATCTTCCTGTCTGCTCGCACCTTCCATGCCTCACCCCTCTGTCAATCCCTGCATTGGCTTCCCGTAAGATATAGGGCTCAATTTAAAATTCTGTTTTTTGCTTTCAAATCTCTACATAATGCTGCCCCCACCTATCTATCCTCCCTAATACACAAGTTGGTCCTGTCTAGGCACCTACGCTCTGCCAAAGACCGACATCTATCCTTTGTTGGTACTCCCACCTCTGATGCTCACCTTCAAGACTTCCTGTAGAACTCCCTTCCCTTCTCCGTTAGACGCTCATCCAGTCTCCACTCCTTCAAAAAATCATTAAATACTCATTTCTTCATAAAAGCGTATCAATTAAACTGTTAATGGCTCCCAGCTGATTCATCTCCTGCAACTGTCATAAAAAAATAAATAAATAAGTCTTCAATTAATACTATTCTACCAATCTACTTCTCTAATACTATCCTTACCTTTAGTGCCACTTTACGTCACTCCCTCTAGCATATGAGCTTATTGAGCAGGGCTCTCAACACCTCTGTTCCTGTGCGTCCAACTTGTCTGGTTACAATAACATGCTTGTTAGTCCACCTATTGCTGTGGGATTTGTTGGCGCTATATAAATAATAATTATAATAATTTATGCATGTGTTTGTCAGTGAGTGTGTTTGTTTCTGTCAGTGAGTGTTTGTCGGTGAGTGTGTCTGCCAGTGAGTGTGTGCGTCAATCAATGAGTGTCAAAGAGTGTGTGTGTGTCTGTTAGTCGAATTGGAAACAATCTCTAACTCAGCTATGCTTTTAGATCAGCTACCAGATCAGCTACTCTTGCCTTAAATGTGAAATTCTTTGAATTCTCACTTTAGTGAATAACATTTTTTTTTTTTTTCTCAGATAAACAAGCTAATAGAAACTAATAACTCCAGAGTTGCAAGCATTGAAAAGATATATTTACACATGTACTTTTTGGCAATTTAGAAACAGATCTCTTTGAAAGCTAAACTTGTCGGTGTCAGTGATGGCAACTAGATTTCCACAGTCAGTGAGACATAATTAATATAACAATTAAAGCAGCAGAGGCTGGGACATGCCCCTTCATGATGGGAGGGGAGGAGGGAAGCCATGGAGGGCTGGCAGCACAGCAGAGGAGGAGCATGTCCTATGACAAGATGGACGGGGTCACCCAGTCTGGTGCCGTCCTAATCAGCCGGCAGGAAGGAGGGGCAAATAAAACATCATGACAGATTACATACAAACACCGTGCGTCTGACATTTTAACTGCAAACACAGAGACACGCTGACACAGGGCTCCCTACACACAGGCTGCAATGTCACTGTAATTACGAGTACTGACAGTATACACACACTGACACACACACACACACACACACACACACACACACAGTGCAATGTACGGTAAATTAAATGCACATTGTGAATGGCTGGTTAGGCTTCACACACCAAGCAATGCTCGGGGCTGTATATTGCTGTCGGTATAATCTGCATTGAGGACTAAATATAGCTTGGCAGAGGATCCTGTATAGATATATTATATACACACAATGCTGGGCAGCAGCTATAGGACATCATAGGATAAAGCTCCCCCGCTGTCAGAGCTGCCTGCACTTACATACACATACAGTGTACACGGTACTGCACTAACTGAGCCAGTATACTGGAGGCACACTGACTGCTTAGCAGAAGGAGCTGATACAGCACAGGAGCACATACAGAAACACAACACACACAGCACAGGAGCACATACAGAAACACAACACACACAGCACAGGAGCACACACAAGGATACAACACACACAGCACAAGAGGACATACAGAAATACAACACTCACAGCACAAGAGGACATACAGAAATACAACACTCACAAGGATACAACACGCACAGAAGTATACAGAGGAATACAACACACACAGCACAAGAGCACACACAGCACAGGGATACACACAGACATACAGAGCACACACACACACACACACACAGCGCTGTGCTCGGATTGTGCCCGCGCTGTGCCCTGCCTGTAGGCCTGTTTGTGCTGGCTCCTTCACGGGCTCTGAGTCCTGACCTGCCCCGCATACAGCCCGGGGAGCTGCCTTCATGCACCCGCACCATGTCCGGGAAGCATTACAAGGGTCCTGAAGTCAGCTGCTGCATCAAGTACTTCATCTTTGGCTTCAATGTCATCTTCTGGGTGAGTGCTTAGAGGGAGCAATGAGCCTCCCACTTACTCTGGCTGTGTGGGTTTAGGGATTGTGTGTCTCTGTTTGTGTAGTTGCAGAGCCAGGTTTCTGGAGCAGTGATGTCTGTACTTTGTATTACTGGTTGTGTTATTGAGTCTAGTGGACAGGGGATGCTGCAAAAATTGTTCATCATGCAGTGTGTGATGCCTGTGCTTTCTAAAAAACAGTAAAAAAAAAAATATAAATTATGCATGTGAAAACAGTAAATTATCATATCTAAATATGTATAATGCTGTTATTGGCGATCTAAGCACAGGTTTAGGATATGGTTTTGTTTTAAAGAAATGATGGATGCTGTCTCAGTGTAATCAAAACACCACTCTGAAAATGTAGTTTTCAATTAATTGGATGAGGGTCAATGCTGCACTCCAACGAGCTTATCACATGGGTACAGGTAGGGCACAGTGAGAATGACCCATGTTGGAGAAATCAATTGACTTGTAGCATCTGGAGTCGGTTTTAAATGTTTTTCGGAAATCCGATGCAATATCCCTAATTCTCCACAAACATTTCTATTATCCATGATAAAATTAGAGAGTTCCAAGTGATGATCAGTGCCAGATAGTACTATATTGTTTGTGTTTTTATTTTTAATAAAGAATAAAATGTGTTGATAATCCCTGCAGAAGAGAACTGTGTGTGTATGTGTGTGTGTATATATATATATATATATATATATATATATATATATATATATATATAAAAAACATTGCTGAAAGTGTTCTGTCAATATTACCTTTCACTTCAGAGTGAATTACTGGTGACTTTGTTGATTTTTTGCTACCCTTAGGTTGTTAAAGGCTATTGAAACCGCAGAAGTGATGCCCTGTTTATTACATATTTAATTATACATGAAACTGTTCTTTGCAAAGCTCAATTAACGATGCCCTACATCATTAGCCCAGATAATACAGCTTATTTCAGGAACTCAGGACAGTAGGCAAGTTCAGTGTGGGTAGAACAACACTCATTGCTGATATACATGCCTGGCAGGTGTGAATTTCTAGAACAAAATATACCAGATTACCTGCTGAGAATCATGGTATCTGGTAATTGTGGCGAATTGCTGGTGATACATGACTCTGCTTTTAAGCATTTGCAAATAATTACATCCACCCAAAACAGAGATGGCTAAATTTTCCTTGTACTAAAATTGTGTTCACAAAGAGAATACTATATAAAATGCCTTGAAATCTGTCAACAATTCTTTAAATGTCTGTTGTGGTAGGTGTCATGTAAGATTTTATTTACTTGTGTAATAACAATGTTCATGTTTAAAGTAATTTTAATTATTAGATATGAAAACATAATCTTTATTTCATCATCCTTAGGTAGAATTCGAACTTTCTCACATTGATGAGGTGCATTTCTAATACACTAAACATTGAATATCCAAAGTTTTTTTACTGTGGTGATAACTTCCAATGGTTCTTAATGGCATCAGACAAGTTTACTACAGTTCAATAAAAAGTTGATTCCAAATGTGGAATACTATAGACACTACACCAGATTTTGGAATGTATGTAAAAATGTATTGCTATGTTGCAGAGTTCTACTATCTCTCCAGAGTTCAGAGAGGCAACTTATTCTACTATAAAAGAAGTGTTCTGATTTTGAAACACTAATATTTTATAAATAATAATAAAAAAAAAAAAACACTTGTTTAAAGCGGCACTGTCCGCCCAGCCCCCTGGAAAATGAGTATTTCATAATGATAGTCTTTATGAAATAGTAATTTTGACTGTTTTTGAATTTCACTGAAATTCCAACCAAGTCAATAGATAAACTGAGACATTGTATTACTACACATCATTTTTTTTATGCAAGTATGTTATTTATCAACTTACATTTTAAGGCCAAGGTAAGGTTAACTAATATTTGTTTAGTTATCAAACAAAAGCTTTTTCAAAAACGCTTTCCTTATCTTCATTAAAAGACAGAGAATGAGCAATGGATTTAGCTGACCTAGAATTTGCAGTGCCTGTCTTGTTAGATGAGTTTATAAAGGAAAGCAGGCATATTGTTTTAGTCAATGTAGTACAAGAAATGGCAAGGGAGTAGTTCTGGGTTCATTACTGGGGCCTGCTCTGTTTAATATTCATTAGCCATATTACTAATGGATCTGAAGGCAATGTATTCCTTTTTTATATAGATGTCACAATGATTGCCAACGGGTTTGACACTTCACAGGGTGTAAATGGAGCAAAAGGGTATGCTATAAAATGCATGATGCAAAATAATACAGCTAGGGTACAACTAGGACAGGGGTAGGCAACCTTTTAGCAGCACTGTGCCGATATAGGATTGGGATGTCCCGTAGCGTGCCGGTCCTATTTTTTAAAGTTGAGGTGTGTATGCTGCCGTATTCTGCTTGTGTTATTTATATTGTAATTGCTTTGTATCTTTGTATTTGTGCGTATATGAGCTATTATATTGTATATGTTCAGGAGTAGTTTGTGGTATCATGTACCTATGAATGTAGGCTGTGTATGGGGGATGCTTGTGGAATTGTGTGTGTGGATGGATATGTCACATTGCGTGTTTGGTAGTGTGTGTATGTGTGGGGGCTGTTTGGGGTATTGCATGTGAGAGGCTTCATGTGGGGTTGTGTGCATGTATGTGGATTGTTAGCGAGTTATGTTTGTGCGGATTGTGTGTATGTTTGTGTGTGGGCTGTTTGTATTATTTGTATGAGGGGAGGGTTGTTGTGCATTTCTGTGTATATCTAGCGGTGTGGGTGGCTTCCCTAGATTCCAGTGGAGACCAGGCTGGCCAGGTACAGGTGAAGGGCAGGAGCTACAATATC